TATATATATATATATATTTATTATATATATATTATATGTTGGGGGAGCGTTGTGTATTTTCCTCGGTTCTTGTCCCTGCCGCGACAAAGAATTGAAGGGCAAAGACACAGTAGTGAAGCAGAATAAAAGTTTTATTTAAAGTTACTCAAAGAGAAAAAAGTACAGGCCACCTCAGCAAGGAGAGGCACCCTGAAAGGTTGGAGAGAGAAACTTTAAGATTAAAAAGTTTAACACTCAGAAAGTGCGGGCGACCTCAGAGAAAGGTCCCTCTCAGAGGTTCCCCATTTAAGGATTCTTCAGGAATGTGACTACAGGCTGGGTTGCAGACTTGTTAAGTGGTCTCTGAATATTTAAAATTATCTTAATACAAGAAATTTACTGCTCTGATTTCTTGCTGAGATACTGGTGTCTTGGTCTGCGAGCATATCAATCAAGACTGCCTGCCCAGCCCCCAAGGTGGGCTGAGTTATTGTCTGTTTGCAAAAGAGCAACTTCCTGCCTTTTACTATGCTGTTTATGGCTGGGCCTGCATGATTAACCCAATAAAGACATGGGCTGTGCTGAGGTACTCTCCTTTACCTGGGAAATATTCAGACATTCCAGGCTAAGTTGCTCCTGGCTTTTTGAGCTTTAACTGATTAACTCTGGGTCTTTTTAGTGGGTTTTCCTGGCCTTATTCTCTTTCTATCCTGCTCATATCTATTTTCCTGCCTAACATATATGTAATGAATTTTTATGTTGGAGGGATCCTTAAATGTCATATAGTAGAATAACCTAACTAGTTATTTTTTGCATGTCACAACATCCCTGCATCATCTAGCCTGTGTTGGAATTGTCCATCTGTTCTGATAGTTCATAATGATGTGTCCTAGTGTGGATCTCTTATTGTTTATCATTGTCTGTACTTATTTAGTGTGGACCCATTCAATCTAGAGATCTCTGCCTTTCAGTTCTTGGAACTATCTGTTTATCTTTTTTGTTTGCTTTTTCATAGTTTGTCTCCTCCAAGTTCTGTGTTTATGCTTTTATCTGTTTAAGTCCGGGAAAGGAAATCCTGGGGCAAAATATGCCTAAAAACCAAAATCAGTCAAAGGGAGAAATAAAGTTTAAAACCTGTTTATTTCTCACAAACTGCAGTCCCAGTCCATCTTTCTCTGCTCTAGCAGCAACTACACCGGCCCTCCCCTCCTCCTCACCTCTCAGGTATAGATAAGCCCTCTGTTGCCCAGGTAATCACCCATTGATATGGAGATGAACTTCTCCACCCCTGAGGAAAGATGCAAATGCACTAAAGGCATACTTTCCACCTCTGAATGCCTGTTGATATGCAGATACACCAAAGCCAAGCGAGAGATTATGGAAATGTTACAATTTTACCCACAATCTGGAACTTTTATATGGTTGTTGGACCTCCTGCTTTTATCCTCTATTTTTATTAATTTTTATTTGGCTTTCTATCTCATCCTTTTCATTTTATATTCTGCCCAGTTTATCATCTCTTCTGTCTATTGAATTTCTAATTTCTAATATCATAATTTTAATTTTCAAGAGCTCTTTTCCTGCTTTCTCAGTGTTCTTTTAGTAGCATCCTGTTGTTTTTCATGGATGCAGTCAATGTGCTGCTTCTTATTTCTGAGGATGTTAAAAGGATTTCTTTCATAAAGTTTTTTTGTTACTGTTTCCTCCAAGTTCCACTTTCTGCTTGCTTTGGTGATAGCCTCTCCTGTATCTGCTGATCCTTGTCTGTCCATTGTCTTTAAGAATGAGGTACTAAAAAACTCTTCACTAAAGTTATTCAAATGTTAATGTCTTGGGTCATTCCATTTCTCCAAAGACTTCTCCAGTCTCTTGCCTGGGGGATATATTAGCCTGACTGCCAGTATTATTCTGATAGCCAAAAAAAGGAAATAGGAAAGGGGTTTGGGCTGCCTGGGTGTGTCACACCCTCACTGAATCCTCTTTGAGCTGTACTCCCTCCATCTATTGTACCTAGTGTCCTTGAGTCCACAGTCTCTGTAGGGCAGTTTTTCCAAACCGTATATCTGTCTCCAGGCCAGTTGAGGAAGAGCAGGATGAGGGAGAACTGAGAAGTACCCTTTGAACAGGCTGGGGGCCAGCTTTCCTGTTTTCAGCGTACCCGTCTGTCTTCAGAGGCGTGGGCTCAGGAGGTCAGTTTGCTTGTTGTTGGTGTCCTCTGCTGGCCATTAGCTTTTAGCTCTCTTGGCTCCCAATCAGTTACTGCTAATCTGTTTATTTTTGGTCTTCCAACGTTTTGTTGTACTGTCTCATCTAGTGTCCTGTTTCTGTTATTTCAGTTTTTTCCTTGTGGTGAAACACCTTTTTAATTTTAAAAATATTTTAGTCTGTTTAAATTATTTTTCTAGGGGGAGCAGAGATAAATTTATACTCATGTTTAATTGGAAACTGTTAGCCTAGTTTTAATCTGTTGCTTTCCCTTCTAAAAAATGAAAATACCATTTTTCTGATTATAGATTAACTATATTTACTATAAAATATTGGACAATACAGGAGATTATAGAGGAGGAAGTAAAAATCACTTGATAGTAGTTACCTTTGTGTGGTGACATTACATTCTGGTGTGTATACTTAACCGATCAACATCATTGAGATTTTTCTAAGTCAGTAGATAAAGAATTTGCATTACCATTTTTAATAGCTAAATAGTATTTCAGTATAGGAGAATGCACTTAAGTCCCTGTTAGACTTTTAGGGTGAGTTCCACCTCCGCCACACTGTAAACAAATATAACACAGTATCTTATATACTCAGATTCTTATGTAATTACTTTCTTAGTATGAATCCCTAGAAATAGAATTTCTGAGTCAAATAAAATGTTTATTTTAAAAGGCTTTCCCCAGTTGTGTCGCCAAATAACTCCTTCTTCCCCCAGAAAAACTGGATGAGTTTATACTCTTGTCAGAGATACACAAGCCACACATATTTCCCTACCAGGGTACTCCTATTTATTTTTTAAATTAATTACTTAGGTTACATTTTGTTTTAAAAATGTAATTTGTAATATTAGTTAGCAAGTTGAATTTGGAAAAATATTTTTTCCCAAGAACATGCTTATAGTTAACTCTGAACCTGTGAAGTTTTAAGTTGCCAATTGATATAATCAGATTGAAAAGTAAGTTACTTGTAACCATAAAGACAGTGGCTTAATGTTTTTTTCTAAAAGATGGCGTTAGTTTTGTTGTAGTGATGTATTGCAGTTTTTATGTTAATGTCTCCAGGCTTCCAGAATTTTCTTTGATACAAATCCAGATTTTTTTTCTTTAAATGTCATATTGATGCTGGGGTTCTTGTTTGCGGAGCCAAAGAATGAGCTTCACAAACACTCAAGGTAGGAGAGCAAGGTACAGGCTTTTATTTAGAAATAAAGTGAGAGAACAGAGCTCCTGGCTTATGCCAGGAGGGGACAAGAGAGCCCGGGGTGGTACATTGTCTAGGGGATTTATAGGCAGTTGAGGATTTTTGGAAATTGAGGGTTTCGGGTGTGGACTTGTACCACCTGCCCTGCCCTCAAGGTGGACTTGGTTGTTGTCTGTTTGCTAGGGCTGTTTACAGTGAAGTCATGGGTTATGCTGAGATACCCTTGCGGAACACTCAAACATTCCAGGCCAAGTTGCTCCTGGCCTTTTGACCTTTAACTGATCTCACTGAAGGTGTCTATATTCTTAGTCTAGTATCTTTACCCTAGAAAATTAGTGTGACCTTGAGATTGCATAATGCTGAACACAGAGTTTTGATAGCAACTTTACATTGTTACATTGCTTTGACTGGAAATATCTAGCTTTGCTTTTTCCAGAGGCCCTCACCCTACTCTAAGCCCATGGTCCCTGTCTCGATATTTCAAAAAGTATTTCAGCTAGTAGGCTCTTTTTTTAGTCACTCTCTGAATATACTAATGGAGTAGAATCTGACTTGAATAATTTGTCTTTGCATATTTCGTTGTGTAAAAGCAGTGTTGGGAAGAGATGAGCTGGATCACAATCAGATGGAAAATGGAATAAGGTTATAGGACTTGCTTGGCCCCAGAACTTTGCTGTGCTTGAATTGAGGCATGAAATTGAGCAATTCTTAAATGTGTAAATCATAAGCTTTTCTGTATCTCAAAAGATTTATCTTGCTAACTTACCTTTTGCTTCAAATTATAATTTCAGACTTATGCAAAAAAGCATAAAATAGTCTTGATTATGTTGAGCTATGTTTTAAATGTAAGTACTAGGTATAGGTAGTTATAAGAATACAAAGTATGGTTAATCTTTGAACAATGCAGATGTTAGGGGTGCTGACTCCTACAGTTGAAAATCTGCATATAACTTTTCATTCCCCCACAAAACTTACTGTTAGTAAGTAACCACTTACTAATAGCCTACTGTTGACCCTACCTTTAACAGTCAGTTAACACATTTTGTATGTTATATGGATTACATACAATATTTTTACAATAAAGTAAGCTAGGAAAAAGAAAATGTTTTCTCAAATTGTTGCAGATCTCCAAAAAATTTTCCAATATGTTTATTGAAAAAACCTACATATAAGTGGACCCATTGTAGTTCAAACCCATGTTGTTCAAGGGTCAACTGTAGTTGTGGGGTGATTTGATAACTATCAGTGGCTAGAAAAATTGACATTTGCTGCCACCTGCAGGTCACATTTCATAATGTTCTAGGTAATTTAGATAAAAATGCCACCAGTAAAATCATATCTGTGTTTTCTTCCATTAATCTTTCATACTTGTCAGCAGTTTATCCTCTATAGCAAACTACATGATTGACCATTGCTGTCTATAGCTTGTGGTACTAGATAATGTTTAGGAGTCTAAAAATGAAACCTCAAATATAGCCTTTTTTTTTTGCATTGAGCATGAATTTAGTTAGTAAAGATTAAATATAAATGTAGGAACTTCTGTAAATACACTTCATTTGCTTGTGTGCAATTGAAAGAAGGTATCTGCCTTGTCCCAAGTTTGTTAGCATTTCTGGAATAGGACCTGTTAAGTAGGGAAAGTAGTATGAAATAAAAATTATGGATCCAAATCTGTAGTTGAGAATATAACTGTTTGCTTGAGATTCAAATGTAGCCTTGGGATTGGATGGGCTTATTTCAGTCATTTCTGCATAACTGAGCTATAGTGTATCAGCTATGTAGACAAGGCCAAGTTGAGCAAGTTTTATATTCCTTTACTAACTGTTCAGGCATTGCTTTTAGGAAATTGGTTCTAAGAAATTTGAGAGATTGTTTTCCACATTCAGCTTTACATTTTTCTCTCATTTTAATGAGTAGTTCACTAATTTGACCAAGCTTTCATAAAGCTCAGACTAGTATTAGAATGAAAACTTCCATGAATTTGAATTCTTTGTGCTTGTCATTGATCCAAGTTGTTTTATAAAGTCAACTACGCTATTTAGCAGTTTTTAAACATACAGTTGTTTGCTTCTTTGAAATTCCTATTTGAAGTGATTGTTTATAAAATAAAGCTCATCTTTAGATTAACATTACTATTAATGGGCCTTGAGAATTTCAGAGATGACCAAGTACTAATTATTAAGTAACTTGATGGGATATAATTTACTGAATTTAAAATTAATCAAATGCTGTATTGTTTTTGTCTTTATTTTCTTGCATTTCTTGCGACGTGTTGTCTAACTCAGATACAATGTGTGTTGTATCAGTTCTGATGCCACTTAAAAGCATGAAATTCATGACCCCCCTTTTGATTCTTATTTGAATGTATAGTAAAGTTTATTAAGGACAGTTGTCTAGAGGCTTAATTTGCTATATAATGAATTAATAAATGTGAATGTATTTATTGAGGCCTCAGTATAGACATATGACTGGCAGTGGGAAAAAAAACAAAGACCCTGCTTTCATGGAACTTACATTTTAGTAGATGAAACAGATAATATAACATGTTGGGTGGTGGTAAGTATTTTGAAGAAAACTTGTAGTGTACGAGGATATAGAGAGACAAAGGAAGTTCTGTTTGGTTTCGAGTGGCCAGGAAAGTCCTCTCTGAGGAGGACTTTGAGCATTTGAGCAGACACTGTATGAAGGAAGGATGTGAGCTATGCAGCTGCAACAACGGAAGACCTTCCCAGCCAGAGGCAACAACAAAAGAAGGACTCTGGAGAGGAGGGTGTTTACGTGTATACTAGAATAAAAACTGCCTAGACTAAAACTGTCCAACTGAAACAGTTTATATATATTTAAGAAATATGAATTGAAATTGTAAGGTAGTAGTATCATTAAGTTTGCCTTATAACCTGCATCACCTAGGTGAATCCTGCAAAATTCACATCTTATTGTTTCTCCCCCTCCTTCCCACTGTCCCCCCCTTTCCCAAACCTCCCCACTCTGCCTCTACTTTTCCCCTCTCTCCTCTCTGCTGCCTCCCTACTTCTCATTGCAGTGAAATTGGAGCGATTTGAAATTCCAATCAAGGTCCGCTTAAGTCCGGAGCCATGGACCCCTGAAACTGGTCTGGTCACTGATGCTTTCAAACTGAAGAGGAAGGAACTGAAGAACCATTATCTCAAAGACATTGAGCGGATGTATGGGGGCAAATAAAATGCTGCTCTCTTACTTAGACTTGTACAGGAGGTGGCGTGAAGGTTTTTCAGTTTGAGAGTTTTAAGCCTCATTGAGCTGTCAGAATGTAAGGTTTATCATTTTAAATACATAAAAAAGACCCAAAGTGATTAAAATAGCTCTTGAGTCTACTTTAACATAGTTTGCATAGTTGTAGTGAAGCTGAATGAAGTTGGAAAGTTATTGCCCTTTAGCTGTGTTAATTTTAGAGCAAAAATTCTGTTTTTAAAAGTTAGCCTAAGGCATACTTGTTCTCCTTTCACTGTGTCCCACAGAAGTTGGGGCTTTGTGCTGTTGTTGTCATTTGTTTCCATATATTGCTTGATCTCTATTTTAATTTGGTTGTTGATCCATTGATTATTTAGGAGCAAGTTGTTAAGCCTCCATGTGTTTGTGAGCCTTTTTGCTTTCTTTGTACAATTTATTTCTAGTTTTATACCTTTGTGGTCTGAGAAGTTGGTTGGTAGGATTTCAATCTTTTTGAATTTACTGAGGCTTTTTGTGGCCTAGTATGTGGTCTATTCTGGAGAATGTTCCATGTGCACTTGAGAAGAATGTGTATCCTGCTGCTTTTGGGTGTAGAGTTCTATAGATGTCTATTAGGTCCATCTGTTCTAGTGTGTTGTTCAGTGCCTCTGTGTCCTTACTTATTTTTTGTCTGGTGGATCTGTCCTTTGGAGTTAGTGGTGTGTTGAAATCTCCTAACATGAATGCATTGCATTCTGTCTATTTCCTCCTTTAATTCTGTTAGTATTTGTTTCAAATATGTTGGTGCTCCTGTATTGGGTGCATATATATTTATAATGATTATATCCTCTTGTTGGACTGACCCCTTTATCATTATGTAGTGTCCTTCTTTATCTCCTGTTACTTTCTTTGTTTTGAAGTCTATTTTGTCTGATAAAAGTACTGTAACATCTGCTTTTTTCTCCCTATTGTTTGCATGAAGTATCTTCTATCCCTTGACTGTTAGTCTGTGCATGTCTTTGGGTTTGAGGTAAGTCTCGTAAGCAGCATATAGATGGGTCTTGCTTTTTTATCCATTCTTTTACTCTGTCTTTTGATTGGTGCATTCAGTCCATTTACATTTAGGGTGACTATTGAAAGATATGTACTTATTGCCATTGCAGGCTTTAGATTCATGGTTACCAAAGGTTCAAGGTTAGCTTCTTTACTATCTTACTGTCTAACTTAGCTTGCTTATTGAGCTATTATAAACACAGTCTGATGATTCTTTATTTCTCTCCCTTCTTAATCCTCCTCCTCCATTCTTTATATGTTAGGTGTTTTACTCTGTACTCTTTTCCATTTCCTTTGACTGCTTTTGTGGGTAGTTGATTTTATTTTTTGCCTTTAGTTAGTATTTGGTTGGTCTGCCTTCTTTGCTGTGATTTTATTTTCTCTGGTGACATCTATTTAGCCTTAGGAGTGCTTCCATCTAGAACAGTCCCTCTAGAATACCCTGTAGAGGTGGTTTGTGGGAGACGAATTCCCTCAAGTTTTGCTTGTCTGGGAATTGTTTAATCCCTCCTTCATATTTCAGTGATAATCGTGCTGGATACAGTGTTCTTGGTTCAAGGTCCTTCTGTTTCATTGCATTAAATATATCATGCCATTCTCTTCTGGCCTGTAAGGTTTCTGTTGAGAAGTCTGATGATAGCCTGATGGGTTTTCCTTTGTAGGTGACCTTTTTTCTCTTTCTGGCTGCCTTTAATACTCTGTCCTTGTCCTTGATCTTTGCCATTTTAATTATTATGTGTCTTGGTGTTATCCTCCTTGGGTCCCTTGTGTTGGGAGTTTTGTGTGCTTCCATGGTCTGAGCAACTATTTCCTCCCCCAGTTTGGGGAAGTTTTCAGCAATTATTTCTTCAGATACACTTTCTATCCCTTTTTCTCTTCTTCTGGTACCCCTGTAATGAAGATATTGTTCCTTTTGGATTGGTCACACAGTTCTCTTAATATTGTTTCATTTCTGGAGATCCTTTTTATCTCTCTCTGCGTCGGCTTCTCTGTGTTCCTGTTTTCTGATTTCTGTTCAATTAATGGTCTCTTGCATCTCGTCCATTCTGCTTTTAAGTCCTTCCAGAGATTGCTTTATTTCTGTATTCTCCCTCCCAACTTTATCTGTTAGCTCTTGCATTTTTCTCTGCAGCTTCATCAGCATGGTTACGACCTTTATTTTGAATTCTTTTTCAGGAAGATTGGTTCAATCTTTCTTGCCAGGTTCCCTCTCAGGGGATGTCTGGGTTATTCTGGTCTGTATCAAATTCTTCTGCCTTTTCATGGCGATAGAGGTAGTCATGGGTGGGTATTTGGCGCATGTGTCAGCTGGGAGAACAAAGTCCCTTCCTGCTTGCTTGTCGCCTTTCTCTCCTGTGAGCACGGTGACCCCTAGCGGCTTGTGCTGGGCAGCTGCACCCTAGCGGGTTCTCTGAGTCTGACCTTGGCGGCTGTGGAGTAGGCTCCGCGTGGCTGCTGTGGGCGTGGCCAGTCTCAGGCTGTTGCTCCGCTATGGCGGGGCCAGGCCAGAGGGGGAACGGACGGGAAGCCGTTTATCATCATGAGGGGCCTCAGAGCCATGCTGCCGCCCAGGGGATTAGGGCACCTGGAGTTCCCTGGGATTCCCAGCTGCTGGGCTGAGTCCGCCAAGACGCTTCCATCCAGCTGTGAGGCTCCTGTCCCTTTAAGACTTTCAAAAGGCACTAGCTTTTCTTTTGTCCCAGGAGCGCTGGCTGCGGGAACCCGTTCACAGATTTTATTGTTCCCTTTACCTAGTATCCAGCACACCACGCACTGTGTGTCTGCACTCCCAGTGCGGATGACTAGGGCTGGGTATTTAGCAGTCCTGGGCTCCCACTCTCTCCCCACTCCGACTCCTCTCCTTCCCCCTGGGAGCTGGGGTAGGGGTGGCACTCGGGTCCCGCTGGGCCGTGGCTTGTATCTTACCCCCTCCATGAGGCGCTGGGTTCTCGCAGGTGTAGATGTAGCCTGGCTGTTGTACTGTATCTTCTGGTCTCTCTTTTAGGGATAGTTGTATTTGTTGTATTTTCAAAAAGATATATGATTTTGGGAGGAGATTTCCGCTGCCCTACTCACACCGCCATATTGGCTCCTCCCTCATACTTGTTCTCCTAAACACAAATATTTAATGTTGAACATAATAAATTGGAGTTGGAGTAGAATGTAGTTTAAGGAAATTTGCAGCTTCCATTTGTCTGTTGTCTTCCTAGTTCAGAAGAAACTTCGATGTTAAGCATGAAAGGAGTATGTATTAACACTATTCAAAGCAGAATGCTGCAGGGCTTCACAGTTTTCTTCCAACAATTTATCTTGAAGGGACAATTCAATCATAATATAATAGAATCCAATAATACCTTGGAAGCTGTTTTAGGATTCATAATCGTTGCATAGGTTAGACATAGAAATGTTGTAATATTGTGAATAATTACGGTGCCTGAAATAAGATAAAAACCACAAACACCAAAAAAAATCCAATTTCCCTTTAAATACATTATTAAACTTTTTTTTTTGAAACTTGCAGGTCTAAAATCAGTAACTATGATTATTGGAATGACTTAAAAGTAAAGTACATTTTAAAAAATGCTGAAAATTGCCATTCTAGGTTTGTTCAAAATAAAAAACTGAGACCAAGAGTAAAATGATAGAAAGTTTATAAAATTTTAACAGGAAGCATTTTCTTTTAGTAAAGTGACAAACTCTTAAGTATTTAGAATTACAACCCTTCCACAGCACTGAATCTGGGAAAGGCTGTAGACTCTGAATTTGAATTTATCTTTAATAACAGGGATTGATTTTAAGACATACTTCTATTGAATTAACACTTGTAATTTAAGGTCCATTTGCTGTTGCTGATTTGATTCTTGATCAGTAGTTTGTATTTCAGAAAGCCTTTCATTTTGCTTTAATTTTAGCTAAGTGGGTTATAATGAATGACTTTCCCAATATCTTGTTTGAATCCTTGCATGATTCATGGACTTGGATGAGTTTTGGGAAGTTAAAGGGAAGAACACACCATTACCACTTTTTTCCTGTTTGTGAGATTTTAGAAACTGGAAATGCTAGATTTGGAAAAAGAGAAGTTACTGGATAAGGGACTGATTTGTGCAGTAACTTGGCGCATGGGCTTCTTTTTGAATCTTTAATTAAAATCTGGGATTATATATCCCTGAGAGATACTCACTCTTGAACCACAATTACTGTAAAGCAAAAATTCTTAATACTGTCATTCTTTGCACTTTTTTCTTAGTCATTTTAAATATATACATATATATATATATGTGTGTGTGTGTGTTGCATACATTGCTTTGTACAGATGTGGGCCACTACTGCAAAAAAATACATTCTTTTTGCTCTAAAATATTTATAAAGAATATTTAAATGTTATGTATATGGTGGTAAAAAGGAAAAATATACCTGGTGTTACTATAAGCAAGAATGAAGGTTTTTGTAAAGATTTCTGTTCAGTGTTTTACAGTGTAAAATTCAAGGCAGGTTGTCCCTAAAGTTCTGTGTATTGTGAGTATTCTCATTCCTCCCAACTTGCCTTTGAAAAGTGAAAAAGCATTGTTACCAAGTAGACTACTGTTTAGCTTCTACTGTTCTGGCCCACTGGTGATCGTTTAAGGATGATTTCCTTAGACTTTTTCAATATGTGATCTTTTTCCCCATTTGGATGGTGATTTTTATGTGTGAGTGCATGCATACTCAGATATTTGCACCCCCACCACTCCCATCTCCCAGAAGCTAGAACACTGCCAACTAATCTGTTGTACAGGTCGTTTAGAAACACGTGATTAACACTTATGGTTGGGTGCTGCTAATTATCTGCAAAAATCCAAATATTGTTACGGGACCAGGGAGATGCCACTACCCCTTGATTTTTCATCTAAAAATACATATGTTTATGTAAACAGATCTTTCCATATTCATAGTGACTTTACAAGTATTTAAGCTTAAAGATTTTAATCCTACAT